TTAAATCAGTTGTTTTGCAATGGGAAAAGTCTAACATCCAAAAGCTTTGGTTTTGCTATATGAAATCATTAACAATTTCCTTTTGTAATGTTATTAATTCAACTTCTTTTTGAGGTGCATACAACAATAACAGCTTTGCTGAAACTCTGCTAAAATTAAAGTACCTAGATTCTTTTCTTTTTTATTCAAAAAACTAACGTTTTCTCTGAACCTTTTGACAAAAACTTCGAAATACTTTGTAATCAAAATACCAAAATCTACCTGCATCTTAAGCTGAACACTTCTTTTTCCCTACGGTTTGTACAATGTCATTTACAATACGCCTGAAAAGCTTCAAATTTCATCGTTACTTCCAGTTTGAGTTGCAGGCGAAGATGTTTTTCATCTTCATTATTCTGTCAATAGGAACGAAATTAAGCCGTGCACAGTCATGTTTCAACGGTGGTATCTATGGTCAACAGTTCAACAAGTGCTATCACTTCTTCTATTCACCGCTAATAGCTGAAGAAGCTGAAGCAGTATGTGCGAGCATTGGTGGGCAACTGGTTTCGATCGCAAGCCCAGCAGAGCAAGCGTTTGTAGCTGGTAGCACTCTATCCGTTTCTACGCAAAAACTAAAATGAATGTTAACAAAGTTTATTGCAGATGAGAGCTATTAAAAATTTTGAAACGGCTAACAAAATGTGGTCGGAAAAAACTTAAAGTGTTGATTACTTAGGACACGCGCGACTGCGGTTTGTAGCGAAAGATTACTGGATTGGTTTAAGTGATTTAGTTAAGGAAGGCGAATGGACGTGGTCTGATGGAACTGATTATACACTCTATTCTAATTGGAGAGAAAGTAAAGGTTTTATCGTTTATTAGCTTAAGTGAACGTAATTAAATGTTTATAGCAGTCAATTAAAATCAGTGATTTTAGTACCTTCTGTTTCTAATCAAAAATTGAAAAACGGCAATAAAGGTAGTCAACAGTTGGAAGCAAATAACTGTGTTGCTGCTACCTTAGTACATGGGAATTGGTACAATACCAATTGTGATCTCGCTACAAACTACTTTGTTTGTCAAACAGAACCGATTGTTGTTGCTCCTGCAAGTAAGCTTCTAATTTAAGACTTGCTTCTTTGCAGGTATAAAGACTATCTATTTTTGGCTTCAATCCTGATATGGTTTCTCAACAGACTTGACTTGTTTCAGTCAACAAAACGTTTTGTCCACTGATGGCTGATGAAGGAACGGAAAAGGAAAAGTGTTTACATTTTATTTCTTCCTTCCAAACATATTCGGAAGCTGAGTTGACCTGTGGCAGTGTACAAGGAAACTTAATAAACATAAAAGACGCTAAAGAAATGCTATTTGTAACAGGTAAACTCCTTACTTTTTTTAGTGTCCAAAAGCTTGGTAAGTTAAATTACTAAGTAAATATTTAATTGTGAACTTCAGTTTTTGAGAACAGATAATAGCCGTATCCGTCGCGAAAGCGAAACAAAAACCAAGGTTAAAAAAAAGTAAATGCATTCTTGTTCATGCAAAATCTAAAACGCTCAAAGGTGATAGCAGTAATTAAATGTTTTTGTCCAGCACGAGCTCGACAGAAGCTAGCGCGGCAGGATTACTGGATTGGGCTAACTGACTTTTACGAATTTCATAAATGGCGATGGGCTGACGATTCGGTTCCTGCTTACTTAAATTGGGCACACGGTATTGAGCAAAATTGTTACGACCCTTCACTTATTGCGATAAAACACAGTTAACTGCTTGATAGTTTTTCAGCATGGCAGCGCGCAGATTTCCTACTACGTTGAATTCAGTAAACTGAAGCACTGTTTTAGGACAACCATCGAACGAATACAATAAAAGTTGCGTTGCATGTCACGTGTCCCGTGGAAGCTGGTACAACGATGACTGCGAAGGAAATACTAAGTATTTCATTTGCGAATCAGAGCCAATAGCAATTCCTTATGGCCTTAGCAGTCGTAATAGAGACCAAGGTGAGAGTATAAGTAAAGTTGTTAATTTATTCTTTCAAATGCACACCTGTATACTATGATTAAAATGTCAGAAACGAATTAACTTTTGAAAAGGTATTTGATCAGTTTTCTCCATCTGTTAGACGGACATGCTTTGCAAATGAGTGACTGGCTTTTCATGTTTTAGTTGCAGCAAAAAACAATTGCTGCCTATAAACTTAAATAAGTGCCAATGCTCTTTTGAGGTCACCTAGTAGTTTAATTTTTAAACAGTATTATTTTAGTGAACGACTGGGTGTTCTTCAAACTCACGAATGCTTGGTATAAGGTATTTTTTTTGGTGTTAGGAATAGTTTGTGAATTAATACTAAATTTTCACTGATACTTGAATTTTGTGTTAATATGTATAGTCAAGTCGCCTTAGTCGAAGGCTTTTTGAAGGCAATACCAACAATGGCAACCAAATCATGGGAAGATTATGAGAAAGAGTGCACAGCACAGGGAGCTCATCTTGCTTCTATACATTCTGGATATGAGAACTCATTTGTTTATGGTTGGCTATAATTAGATAATTTAATTATATCAAAGAGATAAACCTATCAAAGCTGTTAATCAACATTTAGGTATCGCATTTGGTGACGATCTATGTCAATACGCTGCCATTGGGTTGAAGTCGGTTTCCGGTAATCTGAACAGTTTCCAGTGGAACGACGGAACATCTTTGGATTTTAACTACTGGGACAGTGGAAAGCCACCATACGAAAACAAGTTTTGCACTTTTATGCGCTATCATGTGAAAGGTCCTTGGTACAACTTTGGATGTGACGATACGGCGTGGAGTTTTTGCGCTGTTTGTAAAAAACCAGCGACGCAAATTTGAGTTCGCGTAAATAAAAATAGTTGAAAATATAAGTTTTGGTGTTCTTTTTAAGTTTGAGCGGAAGCATAAGCTAGAGACATGGGTGTACAGTAGCAGATGGACAGCCAAAAAGCACAAATCTTGTATTTCCTTGTTAGTTTTTTTAGTTTTAGTCATACCAGCGCTGTAGTGGCATTGTTCACTTATATTTGATAGTAAAAGCCTACGTACAATAGGTGATAATGCAATAATGAGAACTTTAATTAAGCAAAAAGATTAGAAGGAAATCTGCAGTTTTGAGTATAATAGGCTCCAGACACTTGCCGTATTTTGTGTGGGTTCACGATCGATTTATACGAATTTCATCAATATCTGTAATATACTAAATCTGATAAAAACCTGACTTACCTGTTGTTGTCGACATTTCAATATTATTCTTGGAGCATATCAATAAACTACATTGTTTTTTTTATAGTTCAACGTTCTTGAACAATAACTACGGTCAAGGTAACAGTTTTCTTCTAGTTACTCAATTTTTCGACAATAAACAGCTGGTATAAATTGTTCCATAACTGAAAAACTATTCGGCACTAGCATTTTTTAGACGTTATTTTTAAATTATTATTTTTATTCGTCCTTATTCTTCCTCTTCTAAAAAATACTGTTTATTATAGCAGTTAATAGCATTCTTGAAAAATTTTTGGTTTGGCTATTTAAAAAAACAATTATTTCGATATATAGGACCTCTTGCAGTAAATGTCATGAAGATTTTGGACCATAGCATGTTTGCAGAAAGAATTTCATCAAGTGAGAAGTGAAACGCTCATCTTTTACAGCTCAACAAAAGTAAAATAGTTCAGCATTGAGGTTGATGTCTTCCAAAAAAATTCTTAATGTTGAAAAAAAACGGTTGAATGTGACAAATTTTTCGATACAGGAAGAAGTAAAGAAGCACAGAAATTCAGTTTCGTGGTTTCAATAACAGACTTTTGGGGCAGCAAAATAATGTTATACTACAACGTGCTTTACAAAAGATCAAAATAAACTATTTATTCAGAAAAGAAGTGTTGATTTTGTTTTATTGCTTCTTATTTATTTAATTGTTTTTTGAGTTCAAAGGTTTTTACAGTTTGTTTCACACATTACTACTTTTAATGATTGTTTCCAAGTAAAATTAATGGCAAAATATGGTTTACTGCGGTTTTTTTTAAAACTGCTGAGTAATCAATCATGTTTCTTTTTTGCCAACTGAAAGATTCAAGAATATAAATGAGAATCTTGAATAAGTTTGACTCTGAGTTGAATAACACCGTACCGAATACACATTTTTTAGGTCGAAATTTTAGAATCGAGGAATAAATTTTAACAAACTTTTCTTCTTGTTCTCTTTGTCATTCCGCGGTCCTAAATCATTTAGAAACTTGCATACTGTCAGCAAAAAAGTTCTGTTTATTGTATACTAATTAAACGTGTTGAATTGTCTAAAAAAGTGCAGTTCTGGTTTATTATGGGCATCTTTCAAACACTGTATTTTTTTATGCAAAACAAACTTTGAGTTTTTTTATCCTACCTGATAGCCGGTTTCCTTAAAGAAACTAATGAATCGCCCGTATTAACGACGCAGATAAGGAAATAAAGCAAAAAAGGAAATTCAGGATATTTATTTAAAAGTCCGATTTCACAGCTGTTTTTGGAATAAATGTTTTAAAGGAGTACTTTTTAAGTAAATGATAACAGTACAAAGTTGAGTGTCCAACGACTTTGAAAATTACAGAGCAAAAGATAAATCAAAGTGGAAAGATTTGTTCTAATTGTTAGTATTTTAGGTATATTTCAGTGAATTTACAAATAGCATCTGTAATCGTCACGCAACAGTTCTTGATTTTAGCTTATTACTTCTGCTTAAAGCTGCGAGTTCTGCAGCAGACTTCTTCTTTTATTAAAGCTGCGCTCTCCTGACGTACTGTACAAGCTATTCCGCATAAAATCAAATAATTTTGGAAGTTGATGTCTTGGCTTCCTTTCAAAATTTACAACTAAGGAGGTTTATAGAGATATACGAAAGCGAAAAAAATACTTCATTAGTTTCTTTTACTAAAACGTGACGCTCTGTTACAGGCGCAGAATGATGCATATTTTGGCTAAACAAGATCAACTTCTATAATTTCTAAAATTTTAAAAACAAAAAAAGTTCACGGTTTAATGCTAGGCAGCCTTTTACTAAACCTAACAGAAATTTATGAGTGAATGAAAATTTATTACCATTGCTTAGTTCAGACTTTTTGGACTATCCTGCTTTAAATTCATAACAGTTAGAGAGATTTTTTTCACCTATAGCAGCAAACACGTTAGACAGTATCTCTCCCGGTAGCACCAAGCGTCCTTTTTCATTCTTTTCTGTAAATCAGTTGTTAGAGTCAACACTGAAACAAATCTTTAACGATGACACACTGCAGGGTACTACTAACAAATACAGCTTGAATTTCAGCTGTATTCAAAACAGAAATTCACAAGAAAAATATTTTGCCTCTTTTCATTCATATACTTTTTCGCCAAAAATTGCAATTTTCTTTAGAGCCTTTTTGTCAAGCGATCTCTCAACATCGGCTTAAATTTGGGTTACTAGTCCGCTTTAACTAATCAAAAGAATAAATGTAAAATTTACACAGCATACATAACATACAAAACAGTTGAGTTATACAAAAGAAAAGAAGGAATAGTATCAACATAGCTAAAGATGAAGCAAGAGTGTTTATGTAATATATTGTGAACTTATAAAGAGCATAATTATAGTATTTTGACTGAGCAAAAAATTAATAGGTTCAGCTACAACTGTCTACATAAAAGTTCAAATAACTTAAATTTTCATAAACAGTTTCTAATGTTCTTTTTTTTCTTTTTTTTGCTTCAACTATTCCTCGTGGTTTTGCCGACCTTTATGTTGGTTTTTTTTCGCTGAAAAGTTCTGATTTTAAACCGTCTCTTATTCGCCAATTCGATACAATAACAGTTCATTAGTTACCAACTAACTGTGACACTGAGTGACTGCATTAGTGTTGACTAAACTAGTTTGTTCTTCTTACTTCACCAAATTTGTTGCTTATTATAGAGAAATAAATTTGCTTATTCTGTCATGTTTACGTGTTAAATCAGGGAGGACTGAGGTACTCTACTTGTAATTCTTGTTTCAGATTTGTTTGAACACTCTAAATTTTCCTTGACAAGCATTAAAGATGTTTTGAATCATGTATTTTAAAATTAATATACACTTTTGTAAGTTAGACGTGAGCTTATCAATGTTCATTTTAAACTGTTTATTTCAGCTCTTTTATTAAAATTTAGCTAGTAAGTTTTCTCAAACAGTTTCGCCTTTCTAAATTAAGAAGATCGGGTAATTCTGTTCTAGAGCTTCGCTTTTTTTTGTTTTCAGTTGAAAAGCTTGGAATAGTTTGTTTCTTAAAAACTTCGCTTTATCGTGCATCTCCTAAATGACAGTTTTGAGAAGCATTTCTGCTTTTGATCATTTTAATTTTTTTCAGTTTTATAACAGTTAAAACTTAGCAGATTAGAGTTGTTTTTCATTTTTTTTCTTGGTTTTATGACAGTTAAGACTCAATAAATTACTTCCGCTTTATTAGTCATTCTCCAAAAAATTCCAATAAAATCTAATTGAAAATGTTTTTACAAAAAAGAATTTTTTTTTTTGTAAAATCAATTACCTTTCTGAAGTTAAAATTTTTTTTACAAAGTTTTAGAGGCAAAGCTAACTAAGCAGTAATCTACAAACTCATTCTTCTAATACTTGAATTCTTTCTCGTTACCGTACAATTTCAGACCAAAACAATTACAATGCTTTTTTCTAACGTTACATTACCTTAGCAAATTTTTTCTACAGCAAAAAAGAATAAAAACCTCATAAAGAGCAGTCTGATTTGCAAAAAGCTTGCATTTAACCTATGCATTATAAGCCTATTTCACTTTTGGATATAGTAAAACCAAAAGTTTCAGTATAATCGCGAAATGCAGTGTATGAAGAGTAGAGCACATCTTTTAAAGTATTCTAAACTGAACTTTGGAAAATGCATCAACTGAAAATTTTAAACCACAAACTGCCAAATTCACCGTTTTACAGGCACAGGTTCAATTTACAGTATCTATTTGTTGCTCCAAGTTCTAGTACATCTTTATCAATCTTTATCAATCACTTAGTTGTTTTTTTTTTTTTTCAAAAGTGTTTTGTGCCAATTAGTCTATAGAAACACAGTAAGCGTATAGTAAAAGCAGTAACCGGTTTTTGGAAAACGGTATTTACTGCAGGAAGAAGAGAATACATTATTTCAAAGTTTAGCAAACTTTGAAGTTTCATTAGCACGCAACAGAAATATCCATTAATTTAGAATTACGTTTCCAGCTCAAAAAAAAAATTTATACTTTCTTGAGCAACGAAAAGTTCATTTGTTGTACAAAAAGCCTTTAATTAATGCAAAAATCTAATAAATTTTTATTACAATAATACTGAATTTCTGCTTTCTAATTATCTGATTTTCAGCATTTCTTTGCATTTATCGTTACTGAACGGTACTGTAAACAAAATGAGAAGACAAAATGACTGGCAAAAAACGTTGTATTTATTAGGAAAATTTTGTTAATAAAATTGTTGCAAAAACTTACCAAAAATTGTATAGCTATAGACAGACTGTTGTAATGAACACTGCAAAAAATTTTCCCATCGAACAACTACCTTTTGTGGCAAAAAAAACCTACTGAATAAATGATAACAAAAGCAACTAATTCGTTGATGAACAAAACAACTGGTCGAAAAAAAAAAGAAAAACGGGATAACATTTGGATCAAATAGCTTAATTTACTGCAGACAATTTTTAAGCGACTGAAATGTTCTGTTGGATTATGCAGCTTATTTTTTTAGCTCACTAAAATAACCTATTAATTTGCTTCTTTTGTCTCAACTAAGAACTTGTTGAGTTTTTTTTTCTTGCTGAAAAGCTCTATCAGCTATCAGTTATCATTCATTATTTCCTTTGTTTATTGTAACACATTTTATTTTATGTTTAAACACTAATTTCTGTCTATCCCAATTCTTATTTTGATTAAAGTTCATAAAACTACATAAAGATTAGAACATATATCTTTTGGAATCACTTTCAAAAACAGAAAAAAGGAGCTGGTAAAACTGGGTTTTAATGCTGTAATCTTTGGAAATTTCTGTTTGTTTTTCTTTTTTTTAAACAATACTGTGGCCAACAGCGTTATTTCGAAGAAGCTTAAGAAAAAGGCAGACAAAAAAAGCATCATTTTAATTGGGTGATAATACAATAATTTTGACCTCTCCAAAATGTTGCTATGCTAAAAGTATGAAAGTTGCACCACAGAAAAAATAAAAAACATCTTAAAAAAGTTGAATATTTATGCCAATATTTTATTGGGTTAATAAACATAAATGTTATTAAGCGCTGAACAAGCTTACTGTGTTTGTTTTTTAATATTTCGACGTAATTACGCTATTTTATTTTAAAAACTTTATACTTTTATAGTCGTAAATTGAGTCGGCCTCTTGAAATCCAGCAACGTTTTTACTGCTATTGCTGTCTGCCAAACGACAGTTTTGGAATTCATTTTCCTTATTTAATTTATTTTTTTTTCTTGGAAGTTTATTATATATTATTCAATTGCAACTGATGCACAATTGATCAATTATCAGAAATTTTGCTTGAAACTTTTGCAGTTTAATGTTTGCTAACTTCATATGCTGCCAAGACTGCGCTGGTTAAAAGGCTTAAGTTTAGTCTCAAAAACTTATCTGTCTGCTTATCAAGAAGAAGAGTCGAACAGTTGCCGTATATTAAGTGAAAACCTTATGCAAATTCTGCAAAAAAAAAAAAAGAATCAAGGAACTTATGTTCTTGTTTTTCAGTTTTTAAGAACATCAAATCTATGGCTGACATGTTGCAGTTGCACCACTGGGGTTCTACTGGTTGTTGCATAGCTTTTGTTTGATGATCACATAAAGTGTAGTTGTTAGAAGCATAAAAAAATCTAAAAGTTTATTGAAATAACTGTATAAGATAAAGACTTTTTTTTGTTTATTTTATAGCTATGGTTAGACGTCATTTAAAAACAATTTTGAACATTTCACCTCTAATGAATTTTTTAAATGCATTTTCTAATAGTTAATTTTTTGGCAGTAAATAAACACTAATAACAATAGCATAATTTATTAAGGCGTTATATTTAGAAATACTTATCGAGTAAAAAAAAAAATAAGTGTAACTACGTTTTTTTTTCAAATATGCTTTTTTTAAATTTTTTTTTGCGCTACCGATAAGCCGATTTTTAAGCACACATTTTTTCTGTAAATATTTTTTAGCTGCTTAGTACAATCGATGTATCAAGCTTTTGCAATCATATGTTTTTGCATATTTTCTGTAATCCTGACGACATATGTTTCAAAAAGCAAATATTTTTTCTGCTCTAATGATTTCTATTTTTCTAAAAATTCTTTTTTTATCTTTTCTTCGAATGCATTTACTCGTTATTAAGGTCTTTTCACCGATTTTTGAGAAACTGATAGTGCCTTAGTAATGGTTACTCAAGGTAAATGCATGGGTTAAATTTTTATTATTGGAAACGTCTATTTTTATTAATTTTGAATAATATAAACAATTGGTAAAGTTTAGAATGATCATCGTGAATTTCAAGATGCAGAAGTAACCTGAGAGTTAGTTGCTGTTACGCATATACAGTTCCGTACCTGAGACTATCAAATGTTTTACAAATAAGTTTGATAGTTAAACAGTATCAGTAACAAAATTTTTCAAATATTCTACCAATCTGAGCAATTCATTTCCTGCTTCATTGTAGCTAGCAATTTAACAATTCAAACAATTTTGATGACTTTTTTAGGCTGACCGATTAGGACATTATTGTTTTTTTCGACACATTTAGTTTAACACAATTTTCTTAATTATGTCTAGCCTGTTCTCAATTTTAGTAAAATAATATTAAATGAAAGTCGTTTATTTAAAATAGAGCTATACACTTTCAAGTTTCTTCATATCTCCAGGGACTGTTGTTTAACTATTCTTCAATTAAAAATCTTCTCAAAGATATTTCGACTAGTACTTTTTTGTATAAACTTTCTTGCAAACAGTTAATGCTGAGCATTAAACTTACTTAAAGTCTTATTCGAATTGTTAAATAGTTATACATACCATTTCAAGAAATTTTTTAAAACATTTTAGTTTAGCAATATCCAACTGGTGTTCATTTGGGCAGGCTAATCTTTTCTACTGAAAACTTGTAATGATGAAGATTGCTGAAGACGATCAAGGAACAACTTTGGACACCCCGATGATATTGAATAGTACAGTGTCAGTGCAGTTTGTAGAGGAAAAATTTATGAGAATGTTGAATACAACATCAAGATTTGGTGAAAACGTAGAAGTGACAACTCTTGGCGTTGGCGAAGTAATCTGCAATTCTGAAACTGAATATCTGAACAGATATCTTGAAAAAGCTTGAAAACTTGTTTTGAAACAACCAGTTGTTTAAAATTTTTCAAAAACTTGTGGACAGTGGTGGCAGTAAAATATTATATTAGAAAAAACTGTCAGCAACATCAAAATTAGACACACTGCCTTTAACAGATACGAATTATTCCTTTGAAGTTTTGAAGTTCAACAAAAGAGTGGTCTTATTCAAAGCTCTTTCTTCTCTAAAAAAACAAGTTATTCTTATTAGTTAAAGCATTGATAATTAGTTACAGAAAAACTTGAGCAACTTTTTGCAGCTCAACTGGCATTCGTGTGCAACCGAATCCTAAATCTAAATCTTTTTTAAGGGGTTTTTGTCAATTGTCGCTCGTTTGAGACCAAATTGGATTCCACAAGAAGAAAACCTTCCGCAGTCATTCATCGTCAAAATTCCCTCAGTTACTGCTTGTGAAAAACTGATTAGAGGGAATAATTTGATGAAGGCGTATGACGAAGAAAACATTTCTTTAGACAGTATAATAACCTGGTTGAATTCGTTTATTCATGAGGTAAGCGTTGTCAATAAATAGTTGGTTATTCAGTTAGTTTATTCAGTTACTTTAATATCTTACAAAACCTTTAATTTCAAGGCTCACAATGCTGAAGTTGCATTTTACAAAATGGTGCAAGAGTGTAAAATCGCAATAAGCGTGCCAAAAATGTATTTTGGTGAATCGTTCACAGATGCAAGTTCTCAGGGTTTGCTAGCATTTGAAGATGTGGGAGACAAGGCAGCAACCATTCCAATATACCAAACGCTTACCATCGATGAAGTAAAACAGGTGCTAGTTATAGTCTAAGTTAAAAACAATAATTTGTTGTTATTTATAAAGCAGTGAATAGCAAATGTTTACGTAAAGAACATTTTAGACTATGAATGGGAAAATGAACGTAGAAACGTTTCAATTGTTTAGAAATACGGTTGCAGTAGCTTTAAGAAACTGGAAAAAAAGACAACTGACCATGAAGTTTGTGGCTTTTTAGGTTTTAAGCGAGATAGCAGTGCTTCATGCTTATTCAATGAGAAATCCGAATTGCTTCTGTTTGGGAAACCTTTCAGTTGCTGAAGTGATTTTGCACTTAGCACCCACTGTGGTTTGTTCTTATGTGATCTTTACAATGTGTTTGGAAATTAAAGTTTGAAGAATAATAATAAAATATAAAAAAAAAGTAGTTATCATTTGGAAAAGTTTCTTTTTTTTTCAAAAGCTAAGTGTTCTTTGAATTGCGGTTTTTTCAGTTTTATTTTTTCCAAGTTATACATCAGAATCATTTGCAATTATACTTCTTAGTGATTAAAAATTCAAAAGTTGACCAACAAAAAACGATTTTGTTGACCATTACTAAACTTTATTATCGTACATTATATAGTATATTTATTGAAAACTTTCGCTGTTTTGTTAAGTAATGCTTCTCAAAAGGGGAAGTTGGTAGGTATTTTAGCCAAATGTTTCAAATTTAATTTGATATTACCTGAATCGTTACACTAAAAATAATGCGTTACGTTTTAAAAATGTTTTCAACTAATCAAATTTCTCTACTTTTGAATCTTGGATTAGCGATAATTTATTAAAATTTTTAATTTTATTCTGTAGTAGATCGACTTGCTAGCAAAATTTACCTTCTTAGGGCTATGTAGAGCAGCTGAAATTATTCAGACGTTCAAACATTGAAACTGTTGCACCGATATGCGATGAACTTCTTGACTATTACGAAGATGTATGGAATCCAGAACTGATGAAGACAGTTCATATTGACTACGGTAATCCCCTATCAAGCTTCTACCATACAGCGTTACACTGTTACTTAAACATAAAGTTCTTTGATTTCCCAGAGTTATTTTGTCTATAAAATAGCTATGTTCTTTGTCAACAATTTTAAATTTAAATACAGTTTTGCTTCTTGACCAAATAAAATTTGTTTGGCAGTCAGTCATGAAGTTTAAAGTGCTTTGTTTTTAAATAAGGAATACCGCCTGTATTGGTTCATGGCGATCTATGGGTTTCAAACGTTCTTTGGATTGAAGAGCAAAACCACCGAAGAATGGTTTCTATAATTGACTGGCAGGTACTTTCTAAAGCCTATTTCATCAACTAATTTTGATTGTCCACGAGTATCATCTTTATTAGCCGGGCAAAGATGACATTTACCTCAAATTTATTTTATATTATTAATTTAAACTAATTGCTGCAATTGTTTGACTTCAACTAACGCTAATCTAGTTTATTCATCCTGGTTGCGGAGTCGAAGACGTAGCTCGATTTATTGGCGGGGCTATGAGCGCAAAGGAACGTAGAAGCAGTTTGGAAATTCTGCTACTGTTTTATTATCAAGAATTGGAAAAAAATTTTGGTCAAGCTTTACCATTTCTTTTCGGGGATGTAAGTTTAATCATCGTTATAGCGAAAATTACGGCAGTTTCCATTGTTTTAACAGTAATTTTCTGCGTCTACCAGCGAACTACAATTGCCCCTAAGCCAATCGGCCAATATTCGCTGACAACAATTATGTAAAAATGTCAAAATCTAAATCCCAAGAAAGCAGAAATAAAAAAAATTTAACTTTATAGCTAAAAGAGGCATTTGAAAGAATATATGCATTTTCGCTGTTCCTCTACACAACGCAGATTGGAACGTTCACTCAGATGCAGGTGAACAAAGCCAGTCCTGTTCAGAGAAAGAAATACATCGAAAATATCACTGAGAAAGCCATCGGTTTAGTCGAGGATATTCTTCATTATGCTAAAAAGAACAGAGAGTGGCGTCTGAAGAATCGAATATAACCATTTGTTATCGCAAAGCAATAAACTGGCTGTAATGTGGTTTTTTGTTGACAAAGAACAAATCGTTAGGTTTCAATCTGGTTTTTTTTTTTTTGGCAGAGTTTATTCGCTTTTCAGCATGAGAAATGCTAGTGTATGCTCTACACCAAAAATGTTCCTGTCTCTAAGCTTGGTAACTGCATATCAGTTGAAATAAAAATATCATTTCGTCATGAATTTACTATTTGATATCCACAAACATAACACTGACACCGTCTCCACATTTAATAAAGTAAAAGATGACTTTTGTTGGTTGATACCAGCGGCAACTCTTCACTAGTTTTTGGAAAGTGAATACAGAAGAACAAGACTGAGCTGCTGGCATGTCAATTTAATCAGTACTTTTAACTTTACCATATAATAATAACCTTTATTTCTACAAGTGGCCTGTGCAATTTGAGCATTTACTTTATTATGTTATAAGGAACAGAAAATAGTGTTTTTCACCTGGGAGAAAAATTTTGATGCAGTATTTAACTATTAAAATTAAGAGTTTTACATGAAGATTAATTATTCAATTAAGGCGAGCTTTAGTCCCATTGCACTTTAGTGCTTCTTACTGCTTTCAGCAGCAAATTACTTAACATACTAACAACTTCACCTCATACGATTCTATTACTTTATACTGACTAAAAGTTATACTCACTAAAAGTCAAGCAAAACCGAAGACTTATAGTTGGTTTTTCATTTAATCAAATTAGATGATGTTACGCATAATTTTCAGAAGAGCACTAAAGACATTCATATATTTTATTGTTTTTCAATCTGCCAGTCTCTTGTTAGATCTTGGATTTTCATGAAATCAGTTTGATAATTTGTTTTTAGATATTTTTTTAAATTAGTTTTCCATAAAAATCAGCATTACTGAGTTTTTGTTCTGTTTTCAGACACGTGTTTTTTTAATCCAGGCTTATAGTATTATCGAATTATGTATTCATTTATCGAATGTGCTGGTTTTAGCAAGCATTTTATTGTCGTTGTGGAAAAGTCTCAGTGAGAAACTCACTAGAAATGCAAATATGCTGTATTGTCTTTTCCGCTTCTCTTTTTTCATGCTTTGCCCTCATAGAAGCACAATTAATCCGAAGATTTAAAATAAATCAAGAACAACTTTTAGGTAAATTAGGTGCTTCAGCTTGATTAACTAGTTCACTAATAAGTGTTGGTAAATTTTAGTTAGTTTTTGTAACTTTTGCTACAGCAGTGTAGGAAATGATGAACTTTGGCTGTACAAAGCATATTTATTCAAAAGTAAAGTGTTGACATGTTTTTTTTTTCACTTGTTTTGATTCATGAACTATGTATAAAGCTAAAATATTTTTTCAAAAACTATAGAAACGTAAAAACTAGTTTGACGTAACACTGTTTCTACTGGGGAATAAGATTTGTTTCAGACGACAAACAGCAATCAGCCTATCGATCATCAAGTAGCAACATCGTTTACACTGGTCGTCTCTAAACATAGAAAATACTGTATCAGTGATTCAACTGAACTAACCATCGTCTGTAAATTTTCATGTATCTTTAGGTTTACAATAGGAGGAACAGACAGGCTGCTTAGAACAGTATAAATTATCAATAAACAAGTTTTAAGAAATTTGTTATACTTTGAATACTGCTCATTAGATCCTGATTTTGCACTGTTAACAATTAGACTGCTGAACTTTAAGTATCTTGCTATCATTAGACAGTTACGGTTCAATATAAATTCACTAAAAATTCATGCTTATGAAAGAAAATTGTTGGCAACAGAGGTCGTTTAACTTTTTCATATATAGCTTTTTATTGATCTTGCAATAGCTTAAATATAAAATGCCAACAGATTGTGACTTTTTCTGATAGCTTGAAATAGTCTACTAAACAGCGGTGATACTTAACCGCGATAATTGGATAATCAGAAGAATAAGAAAAAGCCGAATAAAGCTTAGTAAAGCAATAGTTGTTTAATGAAGAAAAAAAATAAAAGAGGTGACAACAACACTGCATAAAGTGGCTGTTTAAATTTTTTTTTTTGTCATTTATTGTTAACCGTAAAATAGTGTTTTTAACGACACCATATTTGTAGCGTTGTGACTATGTAGTTTTAATTTTCATTTAGAAATCGATTGCCAACAACAGTACTGAAAATCTCTTGGTAAAATTTTTTTTTTTTGTCTTTGGCATTGAAGTGTTCAACCCGTTGAAAATCTGCTAAACATTTACTGCGATGGCGGCAGCAAAGAAACGTTTCTTGCCGATGTTACTGTGCTGCCACAGAAACTGACAGCCAATGTGTCATATGGTTTCCAGACAATATCGACTGTTACTGTTTTCTTTTGTTTGCTTACGTTTTCCTTTTTTTTTTT